AGACACGAGGTAAAAAGAACAACGACAGCTGAAATCTGTGCTAAAGATGGAGAAATATACATGCACAACACTTATGAAACACGTACATTTTAGTGATGTTCGATACCACCAATTTCCTTTCCGATCCGATACCGAGTAAAATTCGGGCTGGTATCGCCGATACCGATATTGATACCGATATTTTATCATTTGTTTTTTAAATAAAAAAAAAGAAGTGTATTTCAAATCATAGCTTCTTTAAGAATCCAAGGCAGAGTTTTTTATTTATTTATTTTAAACCCTGGAGTGTACCAGCGTACTCTGGAGAACAAGCATTTGATAGTCTTTATTTTTTACATTTCTAATTCATTATTCACCAAAACATGTTATTTGTAAAACAAAAATAAAAAAATAAAAAATAATCTGAGGAGCCATTTGGGACCCGAAAGAGTCGGATTTTTTCAGTGAACCGAGCCAAAAGAACCGGTTCTCTAAAAAAAAAAGAGCCGAAATTCCCATCAATAGTGACTGAGTGAGAGCACGGAGTAGAGCCTCCTGTGCTTACGCATGACGCACACACCCAGGCGGAAGAAGAAGTAGTCCCACCATCCGAGCGTCACTTAGACAACATCTCAATCGTTTGGATACTTTTCACCATGTTTCTGTTTAGGATACACCTCATCTCAGAATGCGTAAGTATCAAAAGTATCGATATTTTGACTTTCAGAATCGATTTCAGAGCATAAAGATCCAGAATCGGAAGTATCGATATTTCAGGATCGATCCGCACATCGCTAATACATTTATGGGCTCGAATCACTCTCACCTTGGTAGAACGTATCTTGCAGGTCTTCCCTCAGCATGTCCACTGTTGCACTGAGGTCTTTTTTAGCACTGGTGGCATGGCTTGCAAGTGTCTGAGGTATGTGTGCAACGTCATTCATCGAAAATGAAGACTCATCTGTAAAGTGGAAGAAGAGGTCTCTGCATTTATTATGAATTATGAGTTTGGTAGAGCATGTGAGAAAAAAAAGTCAATCATTCATTCATTCAATTACTCATTCTTCTTCTATTGCATTTGAAGAATCATGGGTGAAGACAGAGCCAATCCCAGCAATCAATACTCTAGTCAGTTCATCTACCCATCACAGGTCCACAATATTCAAGCCCAATTTCACACCTATGGTCAGTTAACATTCAACAATTAACCCTAGTCCCTCACCGTTATAATTTAGGACTAGTCCCACTGTGTGGCACGAAGAAAAAAAAAAAGTCACTTTTCATCTGATGCAGTTCAATTTGAAATATTTAATTTATTTTTTTACAGGCAAAAGCAAAGCTTGGAATTCAAGCTAAGAAAGTATAACCCTTTTAAAACAGCAAGATGAAGATAAGGATTTCAAATACCAAAGGTGGGACCAAGTCATTGCTTTGCAAGTCACAAGTAAGTCTCAAGTCTTTGCACTCAAGTCCGAGTCAAGTCTCAAGTCAAGACAGGCAAAGTCCGAGTCGAGTCTCAAGTCAGAACTGAAAAGCGTCAAGTCAAGTCCCAAGTCCTGCCGTTTCTGTTTCGAGTCCTTTCTAGTCCTTTTAAACAAAATAATAATATATTTACACAGATCACTTTGGGTTTTGGAGAAAGTATCAAGTCTTGTCGAGTCAAAGGGCTCAAGTCCTAGTGAAGTCACGAGTCATTGATGTTAAAGTCCAAGTCGAGTTGCAAGTCTCTTAACATTTTGTCGAGTGGAGTCTAAAGTCATCAAAGTGATGACTCGAGTCTGACTCGAGTTCAAGTCATGCGACTCGAGTGCACACCTCGGTCAAATACCATCAATTTTACAACTAGGGATAGGGCCGGTCCGATCCAGTATCGGTATCTGAAGCCGATCCCAACGTAATGATCGGATCGCACCGATCCGATCCGATCCAACCTGCAAAGAATCCCGATCCACGAACCATGTCTGAGCTCCAGCCTTGTCTGTATCAGACAGTTGGATGACTGTCAACCGTGGAATCACTTTTACTGAACAGAACATGGCTCGACAAGATCGCGAGGCACATCGCAGTTTCAGGTCAAATCCGCTCCACATTTTTCAGCCGCCGCCACCGTGTGAAAATATTAGAAAGGACTTAAAAAAACCGACACGGCAACGTGCGATATTTGCAGAGCTGAAATTTGGAGAGGTGTAACCGGCTCTTCATTAAATACCTCTAACTTAATTAAACATAAAAACCGCCACATCAAAGAGGACGTGAATGCGCCGTGGAACGGATAAGACACTCCTGGAGTTGTTCCAAAAACAAGGGAAACTCCCGACAGATAAAGTACGTAGTCGTACTCAGCTCAGCGACCTCCACTGTCGCAGACTTTATTACAGCCGTGACCTTTTGAAGACTCCTGTTGGCTGAGGAGAGCAGCGCTGACAGCGAAATAAAAACAATGAAACGCACGCTCGTCCTGGACACGCGATACAAGGACAGGCGAGGACCCCCTTTTTTTTTATTAATGCTCCAATTATTAATATTTTCTAATATGCCGATATCCAAATCCAAAATATCGATCGATCGGATTGGAAGTGACAAAATGTGGATCGGTGCATCCCTATTTACAAGAATAAATTTAGTTTAGGTCTTTAAAACATAATCAATCAACAAAAAAAACCCCCACAATACTAGAGATGTCTAGAACTGTTATAGGATTTCCCTCCGATATTGAAAAGCCGATAACGTGTTTTGTCGACAATTGCAACCACATACAGACTACCAACGACATGATGATCTATCTGCAGCATTACAGACCAGGCGTCACCAAGCTTTTTGAAACTGAGAGCTACTTCAAGGACACTCAGAGCTAACACAAACTCTGAAAACATGTTATTTGTAAAACAAAAATAAAAAAAATAAAAAATCTGAGGAGCCATTTGGGACCCGAAAGAGTCGGATTTTTTCAGCGAACCGAGCCAAAAGAACCGGTTCTCTAAAAAAAAGAGCCGAAATTCCCATCAATAGTGACTGAGTGAGAGCACGGAGTAGAGCCTCCTGTGCTTACGCATGACGCACACACCCAGGCGGAAGAAGAAGTAGTCCCACCAACCGAGCGTCACTTAGACAACATCTCAATCGTTTGGATACTTTTCACCATGTTTCTGTTTAGGATACACCTCATCTCAGAATGCGTAAGTATCAAAGGTACCGATATTTTGATTTCAGAATCGCTTTCAGAGCATAAAGATCCAGAATCGGAAGTATCAATATTTCAGGATCGATCCGCACATCACTAGTAGAAACTCTTCTTACCATCGTCATTGTACTTATTCGAATATCATTGCAAGTGCAACTTGTGCAGATGGACGAGCTAGGCAACACATCAGAAAACTTCTATGTTCCTTATTGGTACTAAAGATCCATGTGTACTTACTAACATAGAGCGAGATGTGTTGGGAATCAATGATCACAAACCCATAGTTTTGGTCCAGCAGCTGCCACTATGTGAAAACAAACACAAGACAGTAATGTTATAAACCTGAGAATAGAGAGGATGGAGCGGGGTAAATACATCTCTAATTTTTTTAAATTTTTTTTTTTTTTTTTTAACCAGCAGAAGTCACAACTACAAGTTCCCGACAAGAAAAAGTTCCTGATAAGAACACTTTATAAAGCATTAATACAATCTGCAACCTGGTGTATTGAACTGTTTACATGAAAACACACCCGTGTTAGATTTGACAGTAAATCCTGATTTAGTCTTGGTCTTTTGAATTAGTAAACAGTTTATATTTTATATTATTATTTACTTTAGTCGACTAGGCAAATGACAGACTTAGTAATGTATATTTATATATATATTTATATATATAAATGTTATTATATATATATTTATATATATAAATATACATTTTTATATATATATATATATAGTATTTTGATTTATTTTTCTGTATGTACAAAATAAGATTAAGTAAAAATAAAACCCCACTGTTGTGCTAAATAAATATTTTCATAATTTTGTAATTGCTGCGTTCTTTGAAACATCAGTGTTAATTTATGCAACCGCAGGCTCCTGATTTTATTAGGTTGGCAATAATAATTAATAATAATTGGCATAATCATTTCTTATGGTGTTTCAATTCCCGTCCTTGGTTTCCTCATTTTTGGTTTCGGACAAGATCATTTTTCATTTCAGTGCATCCCTACTGAAAATAAAAACTTGACTGTTATAAAATATAAAAGCCAGTGAGCAACGAACATTTATGATAAAAAATAAATAATGAAAAAAACTGCCTTTATATGTGCTCATAGAACTAATTTCCAAGAATAAACTATCAAAGAATAATAATTTTTTTAAATTTTTTTTTTACTTACTGCCACCTCCACATGGTCTGTGCCTTTGTGGTTCTGCTTGTGGATAACTTCAAAAAAGTACCTCCTCTCTGCAAAGAGCCTGTGACACATACACAAAATATGAGCACAAAGTACAGTCAAATACCACAGCTTTAAGATGAAACAACCATCCTACACTCGATCACTTCTCTTAACCCAACAACATACCTCGTATTTTCCAGACTTTAAGTCGCAACCAGTGCCTTCCAGCAGCTGTCATGGTTAAAATTACGAACATGTAACTTTTCAGTAACTTTGATACGGGAGTAGCAGATACTGGTACCCACCCCTAGAGTGCCCTCTAGCGGCTGTCAGTGTGAACATTTTTTAATATACAGTATACCTCTCACCCGAGTATAAGTCGCAAACCCAGCCAAAGGATTGAAAAATATGCGACTTATAGTCCGGAAAATACGGTAATTTTTTTTTTTTTTTTTTTTGAACTTCATTGATCCCACAAATAGGAGCGATTCTTATGTTAACAGCAAATTTACTGCAACAGGCCAGCCTTTTGGAGGCGCCAAATATGTTGTTCCTCTAAGAATCAAACCCAGCTAACCACAGGCCAACAAGAAAAAAACAAAAAAAATGTATGCGTTATAACATAGAGCAAACATCTCCTTTGACTGGGCATGTGTTGGGTTGTTGGCAGTATATAACTGTTTGTTAAAATTTTTTTAAAAAAAAGTACTATATTGATCCCATATTTGGGAAATGGTTGTGTTAGCAGCAGACATGCAAGCAAGTCCCGAGCATGTGGTTCCTCCGGGAATCGAACCCAGGACTCTCAGGTCTCTGCTTCAAAGGTAGGCATGCTAACCTCTACACAACGGAACCGTCTCAACCGATCACCGCAGCCTGGGTGTTGTTCTGATTCAGTGCTTTGTGTTTTTATATACAGATGGCAATATATATTTGGCATCTCTCTCTAAAAGCAGCAAACTTACCTAAAGGGACTTGAAATCTGACTGGCGTACTTTTCAAACTCGCCCGGAGCTGTCCACTCTGTGCCCGTCTTGGAAATCAGATTGGAGTTCACATGCAAACAAAGAACAGGGACATGTTAGAAAATACTTTTACTATATTTTTCCATATACAAATATATATTAGTGATGTCACTACCTTCCCAACCCTGGCCAGTAACTGCACATGTAGGGGTGAGTCATCGGTGCTGAGCCACAGTTCGGAGTTGTCTTTTGAGCTTATGGCAAAAACAAATTCCCCTGAAGTTACAGATAAGAAGAGGCAAAGATTTTAAAAATAGACAGCGAATGGAGATGGAGGCACAGAGGAAGCAGAACGATATGTGCACTTGATGCAAAATGGAAAAAAAACATGCTGTACCATCAGTATACGGATGCAAATAACCAAATATCCTCAGCCCATAGTTTGTCCACTGGGGCGAGACTGCCAACTTTTGCAATGTGGTTCTAGACTGCAAGAGTGATAAAAGGGAAGGGAAATATGTTAAACACCAACTACTGTCATGAAGTCCCTTTCTTAATAAACAGATAAGGAAACTGACCATGTGAAAAAAACGCACGCATCTCTCCATAGCTGGTTTACGTGAAAATAATGTTGCAGCTTCCTCTTCAAAAATCTTTTGATGTAGCTTTTTTTTAGCAATATTTTGATTGAAGAGTTAATTATGTCAAGGAATCCAGTCAGTTGATGGATTGTCATCACACTTTATCCATGATCTTGGATGATTATTACAAAAAAACCTGTACCATATTTTACGTGCTTTAAGTCCATGTTGGAGTATAAGTCGCACCAGCCAAAAGATGAAAAAAAATACTGGTACACAAACTTAGAGTGCCCTCTAGCGGTTGTCAGTGTGAACATAACAAACGTAAAATTAGATATTTTAATATAAAAGTCGCAAACCCAGCCAAAGGATGGAAAAAAATCTGTATAACCACTGCGTGTTATAACCAGTGCAATGTTAAATCATATATAGTCCACTATATATGATATATGTATATATATCATATATATATAAAATATAAATAAATAAAATATATACAATATATATACAATATATAAAAAAAATTAAATAAAATATATAAATATATATAAAATATATAAAAAAATTAAATAAAATATATAAAATATAATATATATATAAAGTATATGTATATATAAATATATATATAAGTCCGGATGGTGGACTTATGTCCTACTGCCCAAGCTTTAGCAAGGGTTTTAAAATTTAAAATCTTATCTCTGGTCTCTATATAGTTTGCATGTTGTCCTCTGTGTTTGTGGGTTTTACTGTTTGTCCCGTTCCAGCGTCAGACTCACATGAGGATACAGTGGGTAGTGTTGATTCTCTCGAAGCCGTGCTGTAGAACCACCACACCAGTCCTCAAAGACGTGCAGATTGGCCCGACCCAAATACTGCAAGAGTAGTAAGAGGGGGGGAAAAAAAAAAACGTAAAAACTTGATTTTATTCACTTCTCTTCCCATGCATAACAACAAGCTGTCTTTATCTGCAACCATGTTCTAGAAGTCTTTTCTTTAGTTGAATTAATAACTAAGGGAACATCCCTTAATGCAAAAGGTTCCCAAAGCGCGGATGGAATGAATGAATGAATGAATGAAACGTAAACAAAGCATATTGTCCAATGCTGTAAATGTTTAACAAGAAACTGGCAAAAAAAACCCCTGTAAAATGAATATCTGATAATATTGCAAAAGAAGCTGTTATTTTTATTCTTGCTCTCGTTTTTTTTTTTGCCGTTGCCCGTTCGATCTGCTTGGGAGCATCAGTAGCAAATCTTAATTACTGCCAACTGACCAAAGTTGGCAATGCTAGCATTAGTAGGCAATGCTAGCGGAAAAACAGTTACGTTTGAAATGTGTAAAATAAAGGAATCTGAAAAAAAAAAAATTTTTTTTTTTTTTGAGGTTGGGGTTATTATCTGATTCTGAACGATGTTTTATTTTGATCATTTGGCCCTCGTGATCAAATAATACTTGCTTTCATAATAACACATACACACTTGTAAAAAAAACACACCTCTGGTTTCCAGGTTTGAGCAGAAAAGCTAGCGCGCCACCTTGTTGAGTCCTCTGTGTTGTTTAGTTGGCCCCATCTCTGCTGATGATGTACACAACCGTTGTCAATAACACTTGTGAACACAATGTTTCAGCTGGAAACTTTTGGGGCCGTTTACTGTCCTTACCTGTTCGTCAGACACAGCTCTCCTCCAGCTACTGCATATGTCAGCTTCAGGATTTGTACCTGAGGGAGTAGGAGAAAAGAAAAACATCAGCTAATGTAGCTGATAATCTATATCGCTCGTAGAGAATTTTATGCCTAAACTCTAAACATAACCTGGTCAGGACCAGGTTATGAGCTAAGTTATTTTGTAGTAGACGAAGGCCTGGCTATAGACACGACATCATTCGCTAACCCCCCCACCCCCCAGAGTTGGCCCGCCCCGCTATTTGAGAAGTCCTGGCAGTGACCACGAATAAATAGGATTCGACCAGTGACGTTCATTGGTGCAGAAGAAAAAAAAAAAGTCATCCTTCCAACATCATCTGCTTTAAATGACAGGGCGGTTGTTTTGTAAACAAACACGGGGGTGCCGGGGGGTGAACCGCGGCTACACAGTGTGCACGGACCAGACAGGGAAGTCTGTCATTATAACTAGGGTGGAGACCTTTAAACACACTTGCCCTAGACACATCGGAGCCAATTTTGGTCAAGAAGTAATTCTAGAGTGGAGGTTGTAGAAAGTAAGATCGGTGTATTTTTATCCTCGTCTTCACTCTGCTGCTGCTGCTGAACTCCGTACCGACTACGTTTCGTTTCCACTGCCCCTTAACCCCCTTAATCTTATATCATATCTTTTACAGTCCCTCTGCTCCTTTAGTGTCATCTAAATGTCTTGCTATATTTTGCTAGCTGTTAATCTTTAATCTAATTTAACGGTATCCCAAAAAACAAGTTTAGTTTTTTCTGGGACTCCAAACATTTTTCTAGACGAGGCAGATTTGGACACCCCCACATGCTAAGTAGTAAACGTTCTTGTTCATTGTTCTTGTTGATTTTCCGTCGGACTCGTGAGTCTACAAACTCAATTATATGATTTTTTTTTTTTTTACTCGTATAATATTCAGAAAACTCAAGAAAACCCCATTAGGCCGTTACTGCTATAGTCTTTCGTATGGGAGAACAGAGGTATTATCGACAGTTAAAGAGTGTAAATACACGAAACTTTTCTGACTCTTGTTCTTAACAGGTTTTTTTCAATGCACTAAAAAAAAAATAGTGCCACCAACTTTTGGGTCCCAGACCTACCAGTAGAAAATCTCTATTACATCTATCCTTGCCTTGCCTCGTCATGCCCCCCTCCTTGGGGACAGAAATGTTTTCACGTCCCCCTTTTTTTTCCTTTTGGTTTTTTCAATTTGTATTCTTTCTTTAGCGGGCAGCACGCTCATATTTATCGCCAATTTCATGCTTTATTTCCATGGTCATCATGCGTTTCTTCTTCTCACTACCATCCTTACCACTCACTTTCTCAGGACTCATCACTATTATGACGAACAATACACAAAATAGAGAGAAAATCACATAGATAACAGCAGCAAACACAATACGGAAGACTTGCGAAAGATGCGTACGGTCGACGAACGCGCGAAGTGAACGAGTGAAGCGAATGGGCTGCTCCGAATGCTCGGCCATGTAGCCTCGGCGTCTGTAAGCGTGTTCGTATCGCAAATCTTTACTTGTATCTTGAAGGCTTGCTCGTATCACGAAATACTCATACGAGGTTCCGCTCGCGCGAAGTGAACGAGTGAAGCGAATGCGCTGCTCCGAATGCTCGGCGTCTGTAAGCGTGTTCGTATCGCAAATCTTTACTTGTATCTTGAAGGCTTGCTCGTAGTATCACGAAATACTCATACGTCGAGACGCTTGTATCTCGAGGTTCCACTGGACTATTGAGAACCTGATAACATGTATATTTTTTTTTTCTGTACAAACCACTGTATGAGTTGCTGCCACCTAGTGACTGAAGGCTTGCTATCATTCAAGCAGTGGTACACTTATGTCCCACGTGCCATATTCCACTCACCCTCATGTCTCCTCCCCAGCACCTCACTGTGTCCCCCCCCAGGGGTGCCCACCCCACTATTTGAGAAGTACATTAACCCTTTCATGCATGACGGTCACTACAGTGGACAGCTATGAAAATGTCATTTTCTATGATAAGAATAGGTTTTGATGGCAGTGTTGCATGTAAGCCTCTACAGTGGACGCCTGAGAATCCACAATCAGCATTTTAGTACTGTGGGAGTCATCCCGAGGCCACGGAGAAACACCCTTGAAGAACGAAGAGCATATAACTACGCACGTAAAAAGTAAACACAGGGTTCCTCGGGTTTACGACATCGTCGACTTACGGTGTTGCGCAAAACTCACACACTTGCCAAAACAAAAATCAGCATTGGCTGAAAAAAAAAAAATCTTTACAATCTAATATTTTGGCTTTTGAAAAGCTCCGAATCAATAACAGCTTCTAGAGTTTTAGTTGCGTCTGAAAAAGCAGTGGTGTGTGTGTGTGTGAGAGAGAGAGAGAAAGAGAGAGAGAGAGTGTGTCATTGTCAGTTTGACAAGGGGGTTACAGCCCAGGAATGTGTGTGTATATATGCAAGGCCTTGATGTAAGTCTTAGACTTGTAAACACACGCCAGGCTTTGTTCAAAAGATTGGACAGGTGTTTCCACTTCCATTCAGTACAACAGTATCTCATGGAGTCACCTTGGTTAAATATATATATATATATATATTTATATATATATAAAAATATATATATATATATATATTTAGGGGTAAAATATATATTTAGGGGTAAAAACATTATTTAAGCTAGTTGCGAGTAACACCAGTACATAAAGGATTGCGACATTTCCTGTCTTTAATGGGTTCGAGAATAAAAAAAACCAAGACCATCTTACCGTTCCGAAAGCAACACACACTGAACAACGTTGGCTAATCCCTTTGCACAAAGTGTTCTTTTTTTATTTTTTACGCGTTTTTTTGATGTCATTAAGAAGCTTTAATGATGCAGTTTCGGCCAGTAGTTGACGATACTGTTGTAAAAATTATGAATTTTTTCCTACTTTTTTTTTTTACGAATTGGAGACAACAATTCCCTCGATGATACTGTGTGAGGACATTCGAAAGTGTAGTACTATTTTTTTTTTCATCATCTTTATCTCCCCTGTACAAAAAGAAGAAACTCATAGTTTGTGTAGACAGGACCATAGGGGTTTAAAGAGTTTAAGTCAGACTGTATATGTATACATATATACATATATACACATATATGTATACATATATACACATATATGTATGCATATATACTTATATACACATACTGTATATGTATATACAGTATATATATACACATATGTATACATATATACATATATACACATATATACGTATATATATACATATATACATATATATATCCTCTCTAAGGATATATATATACATATATACATATATATACATATACATATATACATATATATAGATATATATCCATATATATAACACTATATAACTATATATAACACTTGCTAGATAAAGTGACAAAACGGTTACAATCATTATTCATCCTTCTCATCTTCTCATCTCATCTTCTCATCTACATATACATATATATATACATATATATAAACACATATAAACATATATACATATATACTGTATATATATACATATATACTGTACATATATACATATATACATATATACATATATATACAGATACATATATACAGTACATATATACATATATATCCATATATATATATATATATAACACTATATAACTATATATAACACTTGCTAGATAAAGTGACAAAACGGTTACAATCATTATTCATCCTTCTTATTTTCTACGTTCACTTAGGCCAGTGGTTCCCAAAGTGGGGGGGGGGCAGATCGCAGTTCAAATACAAGACGGTGCCCCAGAGGTACACCAGGTGCTTAGCTGCCCCTTTGCTCACTGTATGTGGAGGGGTTAAATGCAGAGGACACATTTTATCGACATATTTTAAGAGAGTAAAGAGAAATGGAAATATTGGTGCCAATTACGGTGTGTTTATTGAGACAGGTGATATTCGTATTCCTCTTCTAAACAAATATTCTTCAGGCTTATGCAGAGTTTTGCATTTTTGCAATTTATATGCATATTTACGCCGTAGTATTGTTTTATATGCCATTGTGAACTAATTCATATGCTTACATTACATGTATTTAACAATTATTTATGAAAACTACCTTAAATACCTAAAGGAATTTTTTTTTTTTTTTTGGAGTGCAAATAATTAAATTTGCTGGTCCTGGACATGAAAGTCATGCTCGACCGTTGATGAAAATTAAAAATCAGTCAGACTTTCAACGGTCTGTTTAACCTTCTCGTTGGCCTTCGCATCTTGTGTCAGAATCAGAGTATGAGGAAAATCAAGATAAGCGAAAATCAAGATAAGCGTGTTCTGCAAGCTCCTATTCTGACAACTCTGCAGGTGCTTTTCGGAAACTTTGTAATTCGAATAGCTGGTTCCTTTAGTGGAATGCTGTTCAGGAAACGTGTTCGTCTGTAAAGCTGCAGGATGGTTCCGATACTAGTCTTTTTAATTAGAAAATAAAGAAAATAGATCACAAACCATGCAATGACAAAACTTAGACATTGTGTATTTTAATTCCTCCCAACCACCGGACTAGGGACCAATACCTGACAATGGATTGTTTGATTTCAAAATGTTTATTTACATTAGTCTGCCTGACATTCCATATGTAAATGTTTGAGTCATGTGGGTATTTTTATTACTAACTAACATTTGCAAAAAAAAAACAAAACAAAAAACAAATCATCAAGAATTGTTTTTATAAGGTCCTAAAAGCCAGCAAGAAAAGCTGCATTTAAAATATATACGCAAATATATATACATGTATGCGCACACACATACATACATGCGTATTCGATTTCTGCACCCAATCCCTGAGTGAAGTCGAACTTACTTCCAAAGATTTCCAAAGTCCACTCGCCGCCGGATTCATACACCGCTACCGGTGTCTCGCCCGACGCCTGTAGCGAATTGACGGAAATAAAGGGGCAGCGGCTGAGAGAAACGCAAAACTTTCTTTTTTTTCTCTCATCTAAACAGGTTCCCAAAAGGATGCTCTTAAGCGTGCTGTTACAAAATACACACACGGACGCATACGCAGACACACGCACGCCCGCAGACACGAAAGGGGAACCCGTCTGTTGTGCCTTCAAAGTAATAACAAAAGTATTTGCAACATTAAATAGAACGGTGCCGTTTTCTTTCGTTTTATTTTAACCCCCTACAAGGTCAAATTAACATATCCTTATTTATCAATTGCTCTAGTTCTGTGTTTTACCGTTAATTCTTACCAAACTTATGATACTCTCTCACTTATACTACAGACAAGTACTAAAACAGTTTGAGTGGACGATATTTTTTTTTTTGCCAAACTTTAAAACATTTGGCAACCATTCAAAGAGGTATATTTCCAATTTTTATTATTATTATTATTATTGAAGTCACTATTGGTCATATATGAATGATAACTGGTCAACACCTTGGGGGCCAATGGATTTCAATTCATTGTCATTTTATTTTGAAATCTGAAAAAAGGAAACAGGTTTATCGCCTTACCTACAAGCGAGGCTGTTGGGAGGCGGGGCCTTGAGCAGCCACACCTTAGCGTTTACCTCAGACAGGTCCTGTGGATAAACATTCGCCTTATAGTCATTTGTCCTTTGGGCCTCAAACGGTTTTTTTTTCCTCATAGTTTATATTTTATGCCGAGATGTTGATTATGTGTTCAATATAAAGATGTATATTTATATTATTTTCTTACTTCCTATTTAGGTGTCTGACCAAATCCTGCCCTCCTGGGTCCACGCAATGATATACCTGTACCTGCCCTCTGTCACCACAAGAGGGCAGGGATAGGTATATCATTGCACTCTGTGTTTCACCTGTGTATTAAATCGTTTATGTTTTTGTGGCTTTTGTGGTGTGGCAATATATGGCAAAAACTCGTCAAATACTTTTTCCTCTGCAATACTTAATACATTACTTCTAACATAAATATATGGATTAAGGATTAAGTATTACAAAAAACAAAACAAAAACTAAGGGTCATTTTGATAATAATAAATAATAAAGGTCTTGTTCTTTAAATCAAGCACTGCTGAGATGAATCCATGTTGCATATTTTTTTCCTCCGGAAAGAGCAACACTGTTATCAACAAAGACGCATGAGAGATAGCACAAACCAGACCAAGGCTAAAATTGATAATATGGAATTTAAAAGATCTCCTTTATAAATGTATTTTCCAAATATGGAATTTAAAAGATCTCCTTTATCAATGTATTTTCCATGAATTCCATGGAATTCTCGGCAGGAAATCGCACACTGCTCGAAAATTCCCAGCGCACAAGAAAATCTGTGCTGCGCGTGAAATAAAACTCAACATGAACTGTGTCGCAGGTGTTAATTACGTATATTAACCATTGCGAAACAATTGAGCAAGTGGTAAAATTGGGTGAGATTTTTTTCCATTTTCGAGAGAGAAAGGTCTGCTTTGCAAAGCACAAAAGACCGAGAGAAAAGGAACGAAAATAAAATCTGACCCTGAGCAAGTTCAAATTCTCAATATTGACAATATTTTACTCGCCATCAAAATGAATGCATTTTGATGGCGGTTGAACAAATCCACGAGCATGCGGCAAAGCATGTAAAAGCTATAAATAGATACAACAAACAAAACGAAGTGACGTTGCAGCTATTTTTATTAAATCTTTCCATTGAGGCAAGAACAAAATGAAAACGAGAGGAACCCAACACACGAACCACAGCTCTGTCAAAATTTAAAAACAGAGTCGAAGGTGAACCGTATAAACAATCATACCTGGTCTTCTACATTACAGTAAAGTTGAACAACTGTAAGGCATGGCTGTTTTTTTTTGTTTTTTTGTTTTTTTTAACTAGAGCTTATTTGCCGGAAAAAGCTTCAGGCTAATTTTCTGCTGTAGCTGCTTTAGTTTCCAGTTTTTCCGTTGCATTTATTCTCCTTTCAAGATCATTACATAAATCACAATCACAATACTGGTATTAAATAGAAAGGGAACAGGGTAAAAAAATGTGAGCAGGCCTTCAAGAGAGGAGTACCGTCCCCTCACAGCTATTATAGAAAAGAATGCGTCACCATCCAGATATCCACTGTGTTGCTACATAGGTACTTTAGGAAACGAATCATCAGGTAAACAAAACATGTAGGAATCACTGTTGTTTTTTTTTTTCTTTCTCCAAACCAAAACACTGAAGACACGTACACAGTTCAAAGCTGTGGATTTACCATCAAAAGAGTTTTGCCGGCAGTTGTGTCCCTCCCTCCAATTTAGTTCCTACATGTTCCACAGCTAAAGCCCCGCACACAAAATGTCAAGGAAAAACGCATCCAGGCCTGTGCCTCTGGGGTGACTTTCATTCTCTGAAAACAGACTCAGTTCACACACACACACACACACACACAATATCAACACAAAATGCTCAAGTTACAGATGTCTGAAATACACAAACGGCAACACAGTCGTATCGACATCTTATGTCACTAACAGACCCTGTCCTCAAGCTCCATTTTATCATCGCTGTTTTCTTTACCCTCGGGGGACGCCTTCAACGCTTCTTTCTGGAAAGAAGAGGA